GGGAGGGGGACGACCATCTGCTGTGATTGGTTGGGGGCAGAGGAAGAAGACAGGATGAAGGACTTGCTGTAGAAGAGAGCCAGAGATTAATAACAAGTGTGATCTGACTAACGCTCTAACAGGCTAGACCAATGGCATCATGAACTCATTGGTCCTTTAGCTGAATGAGCTAAAAACTGATCTGTCACTTCCTACTTGTCCACCTCTGAAACATGAAACAATACATAGAAACTATTGTGGCTTTTAAATGCACTGACCCTAAGAAGATAAAACTGGATATAGTTATACATCCAATATAAATTAGATTTTATTGATACTTTTATTGATTATTGCCTCCATGATTGCTTTTTTTGTCACTGTTTCACTGAAGTGTTTGTTGCATTCCATGTAATCATACAATGAATGTGATTTACAGTATCGTAACCTGCTCTAGTGTTTTCCTAACCTGTCAAAATTGTGGGTAATTACAAATCAGGAAGAGTCGGTTATGAATGCTAATCTGGTTCATTTAATCTCCTTTCGTTCAGTACAAGTTGTCAAACAAAACATTCCCATGATCTCTGCTCTACATTTGCACAGTTGATTTTTGGCTAAAAGCTGCAGGTTTGAGTTTGTGGATGTGCTTTGGCGAAGTATAGCCATACTCTGTGCATCTCTGCGATCGTAGCTGGACCTGCAGTGGTCTTATCTTACAACTCAGCTTTTCACATGTCATGTTTAATAGATGACTGCTACATTTAGATGCATATTTGATGCTTGTCGGAGGCTGACAGTCCGTGTGGTTTCTAAGGGTTTTGCAGTGAGGCAGAAGAGCAGCTTGCTTTAGGCTTTTCTTTTTTGCTGGCGGTTTCTGTGAGGGTGCAGCGCAGAAATCCTGATTGTATTAACTTAATGTGATAAGTTAAAGTGTTAACAGCAGGTCCCAGCAGTGGGATGCTAATGGACATTTGTGCTGACTGTGATTTTTTTTTTTTTAAGATGCTTGACTTAGCAGTCAAACAGACACCCAAGAGGACTGTCTGAACATCTAAACCCACTCACTTTCATCAGGCCAAGTTGTCAGTCAACAAGCTTTTCAGGATCTGTTTTCACTGTGCCAGCAGGAGATTGGAAAACCTCAGGCCCACTTACTGATTCCTCCGAAGTTAAATCAATGACATGCATTAGGCTTTCAGGACTTAGTAACTGTTGAACCTAGTTATTTCCTGTCACTTATGAATCATTGTTTAGCTTAAATAAACCAGTAAACAATACTATCTGCTAGTAGAAAACTTTTTGAAATGACTCATTTGCACGCAAGAGTGTTTTGTTGTGTATTTTCAAGGTTATTTCTTTAGCAAGTTATGCTTAAGAGATAAGAAATACAAATATTTTTGTCTTTATTAAAGAATACAGTTTATCTACCCCCTCTTCAAAGATAACTTGTCAGATTTGTGATACAGGAACAATAAAGTGACCTAAATGTAGATGACACTTTTAATCTACCCACTTTTCCTCTCAGAGCTATCGAGAAGAAACAGGAAAATGGTGAGACCATCGAGCTGTCGGCAGAGGGCCGGCCAGAGCTGGTGGAGGAGAAGGAGATGCCTGTGGTGGACTGCACGTGCTTCGGTCTGCCCAGGCGCTACATCATCGCAATCCTCTCTGGCATTGGTTTCTGCATCTCCTTCGGTATCCGGTGTAACTTGGGCGTGGCTATCGTCAGCATGGTCAACAGCCACACCATCTTCAAAGACAACAAGGAGGTTATAGTGGTGAGTGACAGCAGATGAGTCTGAGTTAATGTTAAATTCTCCCCTGAAGTGACACAGCCAAATTACATATTGTGTAATATGACTGTTTATGTTTATGTTGTTTTAAGATTGTTTTGGCCATGGGGGGTTGTGCTAGGTACCCTACATATGACTATATACAGTGGGGCAAAAAAGTATTTAGTCAGCCACCGATTGTGCAAGTTCCCCCACTTAAAATGATGACAGAGGTCAGTAATTTGCACCAGAGGTACACTTCAACTGTGAGAGACAGAATGTGAAAAAAAAATCCATGAATCCACATGGTAGGATTTGTAAAGAATTTATTCGTAAATTAGGGTGGAAAATAAGTATTTGGTCACCTCAAACAAGGAAAATCTCTGGCTCTCACAGACCTGTAACGTCTTCTGTAAGAAGCTTTTCTGTCCCCCACTCGTTACCTGTATGAATGGCACCTGTTTGAACTCATCATCTGTATAAAAGACACCTGTCCACAGCCTCAAACAGTCAGACTCCAAACTCCGCCATGGCCAAGACCAAAGAGCTTTCGAAGGACACCAGGAAAAGTATTGTAGACCTGCACCAGACTGGGAAGAGTGAATCTACAATAGGCAAGCAGCTTGGTGTGAAAAAATCAACTGTGGGAGCAATCATCAGAAAATGGAAGACATACAAGACCACTGATAATCTCCCTCGATCTGGGGCTCCACGCAAGATCTCATCCCGTGGGGTCAAAATGATCATGAGAACGGTGAGCAAAGATCCCAGAACCACACGGGGGGACCTGGTGAATGACCTGCAGAGAGCTGGGACCAAAGTAACAAAGGTCACCATCAGTAACACACTACAACGGCAGGGAATCAAATCCCGCAGTGCCAGACGTGTTCCGCTGCTGAAGCCAGTGCATGTCCAGGCCCGTCTGAAGTTTGCCAGAGAGCACATGGATGATACAGCAGAGGATTGGGAGAATGTCATGTGGTCAGATGAAACCAAAGTAGAACTTTTTGGTATAAACTCAACTCGTCGTGTTTGGAGGAAGAAGAATACTGAGTTGCATCCCAAGAACACCATACCTACTGTGAAGCATGGGGGTGGAAACATCATGCTATGGGGCTGTTTTTCTGCCAAGGGGACAGGACGACTGATCCGTGTTAAGGACAGAATGAATGGGGCCATGTATCGTGAGATTTTGAGCCAAAACCTCCTTCCATCAGTGAGAACTTTGAAGATGAAACGAGGCTGGGTCTTCCAACATGACAATGATCCAAAACACACCGCCCGGGCAACAAAGGAGTGGCTCCGTAAGAAGCATTTGAAAGTCCTGGAGTGGCCTAGCCAGTCTCCAGACCTCAACCCCATAGAAAATCTGTGGCGGGAGTTGAAAGTCCGTGTTGCTCGGCGACAGCCCCAAAACATCACTGCTCTCGAGAAGATCTGCATGGAGGAATGGGCCAAAATACCAGCTACTGTGTGTGCAAACCTGGTAAAGACCTATAGTAAACGTTTGACCTCTGTTATTGCCAACAAAGGTTATGTTACAAAGTATTGAGTTGTATTTTTGTTATTGACCAAATACTTATTTTCCACCCTGATTTACGAATAAATTCTTTACAAATCCTACCATGTGGATTCATGGATTTTTTTTTCACATTCTGTCTCTCACAGTTGAAGTGTACCTCTGGTGCAAATTACTGACCTCTGTCATCATTTTAGGTGGGGGAACTTGCACAATCGGTGGCTGACTAAATACTGTTTTGCCCCACTGTATGTCCAATGGACTCATAAAATGCTGAGTTAGGATTTAACAACATGAGAAAATGTTACACTGACTGGAATGATAAAACACGAGTAAGCGTACCAAAGTGTCACATTATTAAAATGAACACAGCAGTACTTTCATGAAAATGATTTCTCTCTGTATTATCACCTGAAGGCAGCACCTCCTATGATCCCAAGCTAACTAGTCATAAAGGGAAGAGCTAATTTCCGCAACTAACCAGGACTGAACAATGCAGGCATCCTAAAAACCAACCCACCAAATCAAACAAAGTCAGAGTAAAAACAAAATGCTGGCTATGAAAAAGGTTTATTCCAATTCCAGCTGTTTGATATAATTAGATATTAAGTATCGGACCACGCCTCCAAACACGATGCTTCCGGTTCTCATCTATAACTTCCCCCAGTTCTACAAGCTATTCCCTCTTGTTTACGTGTCTCACCCTCCCTCCCCTTTTCAGTTCTTTAACTTCTTCAATGCTATTTAGTACACGGGGATCTGCCAGGCCTGGGAGCCGCCGGCAGTTCCCTTTGAGGCCCCCCCCAAACCGCAGCTCAATTCGTGTCCAAGCATTCACCTTTACCTACTTAAACGTCAAACCTAACATGAGGACGTGGGCCCAGCTAGTGAATGTTTGATATAGTTGAGAGATATGGTGGAATACTTGTGGCTGGTCAGCAGATGTCAGTAGTGGTCAGCATCTGTTTTTTTATGGTTCTTATTTACTGTTAATTATCTAATGTCCACTTTTAGATGATGTTAAAAATAGTCTTTCTTTTGAGAAGTGAAAGAATAACTCATCTGCACATATCCAGATATGATTTTAAATGATGTGTCTTACTGTGTGTCCCAACAGAAAGCACAGTTTGACTGGGATCCTGAAACGGTGGGAATGATCCACGGTTCATTCTTCTGGGGATACATTGTAACTCAAATCCCAGGAGGGTTCATTTGTCAAAAGTTTGCAGCAAACAGGTCTGTTAACCTCCTGCACCGTGCAAGGAATAATCAGCTTTTGTCGCACAGCATATTCAATGGGGTAATTTCTTCTCCGTGTTTTGTTTCTTTTTCAGGGTGTTTGGCTTTGCTATAGTGGCAACATCTTTCCTGAACATGCTCATTCCTACAGCAGCTCGTATGCACTTTGGCTGCGTTATCATTGTCAGGATCTTTCAAGGACTTGTGGAGGTGCTTCTCTCTCCCCTGAAGTGCAATGTGCTTCTGTTTACATAATGCAGTTGAGATTATTTACAATCATGCAAATTCCTACATTCTACTCCTATTCCCACAGGGAGTTTCATACCCAGCATGTCATGGTATTTGGGCCAAATGGGCACCACCTCTTGAAAGAAGTCGCCTGGCAACAACAGCCTTTTGTGGTGAGTCCGTGATCAGTGGCCCTGCTCTGCCTGCAAACAATGTGTGATAGATTAAGACAATTAACAACAAATATATCTAAACAATATCAAAATAAAATCAAAATTTTCCTGTTTTAGGTTCATATGCTGGTGCTGTGATTGCCATGCCATTAGCTGGAATCCTAGTCCAGTACTCAGGATGGTCATCTGTCTTCTATGTGTATGGTAAGACGCCTTTAACCTGGGCCTCATTTCAAACCCTTCAGTTTGGAATGAATATGCATTTTTCTAATAAGCTAACTGTTGTTGATACATGAAAATGCGGATGCTTGCTACGACACTGAACGCACACAGTAGAGCCTCACTCATAATGAAACTATGAGAAAAGGAAAACCACAACAGACCAGCGCCATAAATACCAGAAGGATGTAGTCTCATGGTAAAAAAGAAATTACACCACATGTCGTGTCAGAACTGTTATACGTTCGGACACAGTACCGTGGAACGAATCTTGAGCAATGCCTTAGTTCTTTTTATTTTTCGACAGCGCAGCAATTTATTGAAACAGCATATGTGACAAAAACTGTTTTAGTTCAATAGTTCAGTACAATTGTAACAAAGTTGAAAGTCAATATTTGACTACCTTGATTCTTTGGCACACAAAATCTGAACTCTTTGAAGGACATTCAAAGCTCTTCTTTGGATGTTGGTTGCCTTTTGTTTTGTTCTCTGGGGATCCTACATTCCTAATTAATGCTGAGGTAAACTTGGGGAGGCCAATCCACAACTGTGTGTTTTCCCTGTTTCCCTTCTGTCTTCTTGACAGCCACCCTCCCACTGAGACAAACTCTGTTGAAGCTTCAGTGAACAATAGATTGATGTATTTCTTGGGAGCACTTAAAGTCACAGTGTTAGGCATTATTAAGGTATTAGCAAGTGCTTAATTCATTATTTTTGCAGCATTACTCCTCATTAGTTTGACATTCATAAAAACAGATATATTATTATGAATGTTATTATGATTATTAGTAGTGATGTAATACCAGTGATAGTTGTACATGATGTAACAATAACAGACAGATAAACATATCTGTATTTATAAAGCACATACTAAGGAGGAGTAATGATATATAAATGTTTAATTAAGCACTTATTTTACTGTGTGACACTTTTCTGAAGTGCTACCAACGTTTTTACTCTTTCTTAAGGACTTTCGGATCGCCTTCATTTGCTGATAGTTTTTTTTAGATGTGCCGCTTCCTCTTTTGACCTGCAATTGTCCAGTTTCGGCAAAACTTTTAAAGGAAGCACTGCACAGCATGCTGAGATATGCTCAGCACATCTCAAGTATTTTGAGTGCTTAAAGATTCAGCAGACAGGTTTTTGCGAATCACTTTGTTGGTGGAAAAAAACATTTTTTTTGTATAGAAATGGAGCAAATTATTTGTACTAGCAATGTGTAGACACAACACTGGTTCATCCCTCAAGTCGGATCAGCTCAGTGTCACGTGGCTTAACAAATAAACACATTCTTCTGAACATAGTCAGGCACGGGTACAAAAACTGGCCTGAAAAGTAATCGACGTCTAAAGAAAAACTCATGAGGGCTAAAGAACCATTGCTCAAGACCACTTTTAAAAGTTACAGCAAAGTCTGGGTACTTGGAAGAAGAATCTAAAGACATGAGGGGTCTTTGTTTGCACAGTATTGTAATAACAAATGAGTTAGTGTGTAAAAAAATAATCTTTTTTCTCCAATCTGCCTGTTCCTTCCCCAGGAAGTTTTGGTGTTATGTGGTATTGCTTTTGGATCCTGGTCTCGTATGAAAGTCCGGCAGCTCACCCCACCATCACCGAGGAAGAAAGAAAATACATTGAGGAAAGCATTGGCGAGTCAGCCCAATTTACAGTAACGGTCAGTACATGCAACAGATTTCTCAAGATCTGTCAATTAAAACACTGCACTTCATTCAAGGGCATTTCACTAGTTTCCAGGATTGCTATGAAACCACGTTAAAAAAAAAACCCTCTTAAAAATAGATGAGTTTATATGCTGATTCAAAGTGAGATAACGGAGATGATAAACAAGCAAACACTGAGTCAGAAGCTCAATTGTTTATCTGTCACAGTGACAGATTTAGAAACTCTTTGTTAGCACTCATTTCTGTATCTGCAGTCAAGCAAAACTCAGTTCCACACACCCTGCTCTGTTGTCGTTTGTGATGCTCGTTTGTTTCAAAGGAAAACATTTAAGAAATTAATTAGTTATGTGTTCAAGCAAAGAGCTGTACACGTTTGAGACAAAATCAGAGAACTTCTTTACAAAATCACTAAAATCATCATCACATTTTTCCCTTACAGAAATTCAACACACCGTGGAGGGCCTTCTTTACCTCCATGCCAGTGTATGCCATCATCGTAGCCAACTTCTGCCGAAGCTGGACTTTCTACTTGCTCCTCATCAGCCAGCCTGCTTACTTTGAGGAGGTCTTTGGGTTTGAAATTAGCAAGGTAACACGTGCAGCCGACAAGCAAAAACCTTTCAGCAGTTATATCAGAAAATAAAGGACATCACTGCAGCTTTGGTTGCGTGCCCTGCCACTGCAGTGGTAAATTTAAATGTCCTCATTTCTACCATTGCAGTTTGCACACCTTATATTGACAAATCATGAAGCACTGACAACAATTTTTCACCTTAATTTACTAAAATTACATTTTTTAAATTGTGTTATTCTATGGAACATATTTTTTTTTTAATATCAATTCATTTATAGGCTGTTACACTGAAGCATTTCTATTTTAGTGTTATTGGTCATTCAAAGCTTTGTCTCATATTAACACATACACCCAATTTAGAATCACTAATTAAATATCCTGTATGTCTGCCTGAGGAAACCAGAGTACCAGAAGAACAATGGCTTTAGGGAGGATTTCTAGAACCATTCTGGCACCATTAAAATGGTCTGCACCACCCTGCTGCAAATAAGCAACAGGAGAATGCACAGAGTGCAACTGCCCATTGACAGGAAATGCTCTCTATGTTCCTTCTGCAGGAAGGATCCTGGACCTTGAATTTTTTATTACAAGATCCTGATGTCAGCCATCGTTCTGATGTCTCAGAGCATTATCTTGACAAAATAAAAAGTGTGTTTTGTACACCTCTCTCCATGCTTTTGCATATGCTATATCTACACTGCTGACATTTATGTTCAAGCTCAACTTTGACCTTTAATGAACTTAAATTTTTATTTAAAATCTTGGTGAAAAATAAGAGTTTTCTAAATTTGTTTTTGTATTTGAATGTAGTTTGTCTTCCAAAACTGCACCTTAAAGTCTGGAAGAAACTATATGAATATGTACTTTTCTGTGCCTCATAAGCACGTTAGCTTGAGCTCCAGTCCAGGCAGATTATAACTGTAGTGACAGAAGTTGCTGCGATAGAGTGGTGAACAGTCTTGGGTCCAAATGTAAAATATTTCCTTACCCAGGTTTCTGAGAATGTACGTACAATAACATGGCAGAGATCGCACTGTTTGTGCCAACTTCCATGGATGTTTTGCACCTGTTAAGGCTTTTTTCTTGTTCTCATCTAGGTGGGGATATTGTCTGCTCTTCCTCATCTGGTTATGACCATCATTGTGCCCATTGGTGGCCAGATTGCTGACTATTTGCGATGCAACCACATCATGACCACCACGAATGTCAGGAAGCTAATGAACTGTGGAGGTAAGAAAGAACCAACTAAAGGGAAAGGAAAACGAAAACTTGCATAAATGAAACAATCACATTTGACAGGACAGAAACAGCCTGGGAAGTCAAGGGCAATGTGGACGTGCTCACATCTGTGAAGAATAAGTGGCAAATGCCAGTCAATCGACACAGCACCTGTCTGTGAGCACAGGTCTCATTCAAGGACATCGAGCTCTCATGCCACGCTCATGGACTCTCATTATCTGTGCAGCCTGTAAGGGCTGCAGGTTATGCTTCCAAACTGGACAGACTGACAATGCAATAACTAAGTGTTCCCTTAATTGTTTATGGAGCAGGGTATATATGGTCCTTTAATTTTGAGAGGTTAAATTGGCACATACTCAAAATCTTATATAAAATTATTTGAATTTTATGTTGTTTTCTGCATGCGCTAACTTTGAAGTGAGTCAAGCGACACTGAAGAAACAAGCACAGTAACACGACTGTGGTGAGAAGTCATTTACCACATAAGGCAAATGATGACTCACCAATAACAGAAGCCCTGCCACTGTCCGCTATTTTTACATTGTAGAGAGAAACCAAACAGCAAACACCAAAGTGAAATGCAGAAGCTTGCAAGGCACTTATCTCTAACCAATCGACAAGACTTCCAGGCCCATTCGGTTAGCGAAAAGTGTGAACACAAGGCAACAAAATAAGCACTCACACTGTTATATTTTAAAACTATTTATATGTCTGTTTTTTGCTTGCTTGCATCAGGGTTTGGGATGGAGGCTACCTTGCTGCTGGTAGTTGGTTTTTCACACACAAAAGGCATTGCCATTACATTCCTGGTCCTGGCTGTGGGTTTCTCTGGTTTCGCCATTTCAGGTGAAATATGAAGTGTTCCTTCAAAGATTTTATCATAAATGATATGCGACTGAAAGTTAAGCAGCTACATAGTTCTGTTTTTATCACAAGATGGTAATAATATTAATGGTTCCTCACAAGGTTTCAATGTCAACCACCTGGACATTGCACCGCGGTATGCTAGTATCCTCATGGGTATCTCCAACGGCGTAGGCACCTTGTCTGGGATGGTCTGCCCACTTATAGTCGGTGCCATGACAAAGCATAAGGTGAGAACTGTTTCTGAATTTGTGACTCTAACTGATAATAATGTGTGCTTGTAAGTGTAATCAACTTTCTCATGGTTCTCTCTCACGTTTTCCTGGTAGACGCGAGAAGAGTGGCAGGGCGTGTTTCTTATTGCCTCACTCGTTCATTATGGAGGTGTTATGTTCTATGGTATGCATTGTCTCCTTTCTTGCGCTTAACCGGATCAACTACAAAAATTCTGAATGAGGAAAATTCAGCAAAACTCTGTATACTTGTCAGCTATAACAGTCAGTGAGTTTGTGTGTCTGCTGCAGGTATTTTTGCATCTGGAGAGAAACAATCTTGGGCAGAGCCAGAGCAGCTGAGTGACGAGAAATGCGGGATCCTGGACGAGGATGAGCTTGCAAATGAGACGGAAGAACTGTATCGCACAAGCGGTGGAGTGGGCTACGGAGCCACGAACCAGGCATCGGATCCCAACGGAGGGGGCATGGCTGGGGGAGGAGGAGGAGGCTGGGTGTCAGACTGGGACAAAACTGAGGAGTATGTCCAACCAGCCGGAACCAATAATTATCTTTACGGAGGAGAGGGCGACCGAGAGTTATAACGTAAAGCCAGCAGACACAGTTTATCAGCAATGTGGAATTTCACTCAATGGCATTAAAAAACTGGTGGGAATGTGGGGATGGACAATTTTCAGCAGGTCTGACTATTTTATCATAAATTAAGAATTTCACAGAGACTGCACAGTAGAGGTGAAGACAGTAGTAAAAGTAAAATGTGTTTGTGCATGAGTGCAGTCGTTATACGCTGTGTGGCAGAATGGTGTCACCGGCCCACCTTCAGACATGTCGGAGGACGGCTTTAGGCCTGGTGTGGCGTTCTTTGATGCTTAGTCATTGTAACTGTAGAAACTGGACTGACATGACATGGATTTCATTTCTATGCCTCTTATTTGTATTTTAATCACTCGTGATTACACATCTTTAGGCGCACAATGATCACACTGACTTTTCTTTTTAGGAGAAATTGATATCTATTGTCAGATTAGTTTCGAAGAAAAGATTTTTCATAGGGGTGGCCAAGAGAGAAACAACCTGCTGTAGGTTTATGTATTAGTCTTCCTAGTCAAATGGTACATTTACTACATAGAATAATAACATATTTGTTTGATTTTTATTTTTCACCCTTATCTGATTTAAAAAAACAAAACAAAAAAGATCTGCAACCATCTGTTGAGATACTCTCATTCATGGCAAAACAGGTTTGCTGAAGATATAGTAATTTCTGGATGTAATTTCTCCATTAATATATAGTTGAACATAGCCACCCATGGCCACCCCTTGTCTCTGCCCCTGGCCCCAACAGGTTTTTGGTTGTTTTGTTTTCTTTTTCATTATTGTCCTTAATGTGCACATTTTAGAAAAAAAAATCATGTGCCAATACAACACAATATATAATGTTCTGTAGTATTGGTTTATTCATCCACTGAAAAAGGAACTGAACATCTGCAAATAACACCACATCTGGCTTTCTTTAGATGCACTTTTTAACCACTGTATGTAGTGGACTACTACCTTGCCTACTAGCTGTCATACTGTGAAAAAAAGCATATAGGATTAGTTTAAATCTCCAGAACATCAACGTCCTCTTTTAAAATTAGACTCTTAGGTTAGAAACTATTTTTCTTTCTGTTTCTTTCTGTTTCTATTCTTTCTGTTTCTATTTCTAAATAGAAACAGAAAGAAATTTTGCAAAAACAGAATTTTGCTTTGTATGATTAACATCTAATGCGTCCTCTATTGGTATTATTTTGTTCTGCTCCATCTGTGTTTGAGGCTGGCATCAGAGGAAGCAGTTTGCTGTCTCCAGTGAAGTGGCAAAGCACAAACAGCACCAAGCTGAGGCTGTGGGATCAGTTTTGTAGCGCTCTCATTTGAAGGTGGACTTTAAATTGAATTCATATGTGTTTAATAATCCATAAAATATCAATTAAAACCAAGACCAGTTAATAAAAATGCTGAAAATCCCAACGGCATTTCTCTGGACAATTTATTTTTTATTAGTAGATGTGGTCATGTATCTAGTTAGTCATTAACTAGTAATGGGATGGTACTGTTTACTGATAGGATTGATATTAAATGTTAGGATTTTTACTATTTCTGTCATTTTTCATTCATTTATTGTTAAATGTTCTGTTCTTAATTATAAACTAAATCTATGTGTAAAGGAATGTGGAAAAATACTGAAGAATAAAGCTTAGAGGTGATAGCTTCCACAGTAGTCACAAATCTTTATATTTGGCAGTTTACCCTTATGCATTGCTGCCATTTTAATGTTTTAACCTTTCATATCAGATGGTACAGAGTACGTCTCGCTATAAGTTCATTATTACGCCTGATTTGTACTCCACTGTAAAACAAAACATCTGTTTTCTCCATGTCAGCTCTGTTTCATGCATGATTCAGACACTAAGTGTGCAGGTCTTAAACATTCCTGACCCTTGGTTTCATGTTACCCCTAATGCTCTGCTCCATCCCAGACAGAATATTGATCACTGAGCTTAACTGTGAGCATTTGGAAATGAAGCAGAAAAATAGATTTTGACGGCACAGCCGGTAAGAAGCACAAAGCCTTGGGGTCTCTAAAATCAGTGGTATCATCATGCATCCATTTGTGATTGAACATATAACATATTATACAGTATATGATACCTGATAAGCATGCAGCACTGCATCCGGTGTAATTTACTTGCCCTATTGCATGCCAGTATGAATGTTGTGCAGAGGCAAAGGACACAGTAAAGAATGGACTTAAGAGAGCCTGAAGACCTAAAAAAAAGTTACGACAGTAAAGGGTCAGCATTAGCTTTCTATTGAAATCAAATATCTTGTGTGTGTGTGTAAAACCATTACTGGAACTACTGTAGATTTCCTCTATGATCACAGCAATACATTCTAAGTTTTCAAACCACAAACAACGAAAAAACATGACATAGCATATTACCATCGTTCACATTTTATTTAGCACAACCAGTAAGAAATGCAGAAGCAGTGTGTTAAATAACCAACACCCTATTTTTCAGTAGTTTGTAGAATCTCAAGCAGCAGTAACTTGAAGTGTCAACTCACTGGCTGCAAGTTGTCCGTTCTCTGCGGCTTCAAAACAAGCCTAAATCATTACCCCTCCACCTCCGTGCTTGACAATTGGTAAAGTTTTCACATTACTGCAAATTGAATCCTGGTTCAAATAACCTGTGTGGCTCAGACCCCACATTACATCACTTTACATTACAGGGGTTAGGGCTGTGTTCGATAGGGGACAAACATCTTCTCTCTGGTTGTCTGTCCAAAACACATCGTTACAGAAATTGTTTTGCCATCTTTAAACAAATGCATTTTTCATATTCCATGTGAAGACACAGATAAAAAGTAGTTTCGGTCCTGTGTTAAAACTGAAAACACTAACTGTTCAGCTGAGAAACTGTAACAGCTGTAATTTATCACAGATGGGTGTGTTCATCCTTATCACTTAAACACAATCACATAAACACCATGACTAAAGCTGAACATGTTAGATAATTACATACGGCTATTTTACATATTGTTCTTTTATTTTAAAACCTCAAAGTTTTAAAGCTATGAATTATATTCCTCCCAGCCTTAGTGTCATGGTCTGTGTGCAGGTAGTCAGGAAAAGAAGCAAAGTGCAGAAGTCATGGAGGCAGAAGTTAACTTAACAGAACCTCAGCTTTATTGCTAGCAGAGTGCTAAAACTGAAATAACACGGGAACAGAACACAGAGGCAGATACGGTGGTACGACGCGACGCTGAACATATGAAAATACAGACAATAAATACAAGAAGAACACGAGGGAATGAGACCAGATGGGGGACACAGCTGATACAAATTAACTGATGGGACCAGTCAGACACAAAACTAGAAACATCAACATAAGACACAGACCTTCAAAGTAAAACAGGAAATCCATAGAAAAAACTCAGAGGCTCTGAACTAAACTTATATTAAATACTAGAAACTAAAAATTACAATAAAAATACACAAAACACTTGGTCACAGACCCAGGACTGTGACACTTAGACTAGCAGCCTCACACTGTAGCACAGGAGACACTGTAGGACATAAATGAATAAAAAATGACACAAAACATCTTTGTAGTAATAATATTATCTCAAGCCTTTATTCCTGCTATTTGTTTTTTAGCTATTTGTACATATTAACCAGCATCTGCGTGTGGACAGCAGAGAAAGAATTTCATTGTACAGAGAAATGCTTTTTCTTTACACACATGACAATAAACGCTTTAAATCTTTGAATCTTGAATCGTGTACAGTCTTTCAGCACAGAATATTAAATAATCTACCGTATGTACAAAAACAACAACAAAAAACCCTGAAAGCAAATGCAAAACGTTTCCAAAACAACAAAAACATCCCGTAAAGGCAAAACTTTTTTTCCTTTTAACACGACTCAAAATGAAAAAAAAAAAAAAAAATCTTAATGTCTCATTCCAGCATTTCAGAAGAGAAAAAGAAATAAAACAATGTCAAATAGCATCTCAATTTGCTGGTTGCAACACATTTAGCCACAATACATCTGCGTTGTATGTGTGATTTTATTGAGAGAAAAATGTTATTGATATTAAATGGTTGAATATAGGACGCTAAGCAAGGGTTCGTTTACACTGAGCATAAATATGTGATTAACTGATTTATACTAAATGGTGGAAACCGATAAAAGACGAGAAACACAGAGTATTTCAATCGTGTTGCCTTCAAAATAGAAATTCAGCAACATGACAACAAGCTGATCCGTTATAATCAGCATGACTTTAAAAAGACAAATAATGGTGTGAAGATGATTCATTTTTGTACGAGGAATAGTTTAAAAAAAAATTCAAAAAACTGACCGTGGAGCTTGACTCACTGTTGCCTGTACTCTCAGGCTGTAGCTTCCATACTCAAAAAATGATGATACCATTTTTGTAAAACAGTTTATCTGATATTGACCTGTCAAAATATGACATAGTATCAATTAAGAAAGTGGCTTAAGTGCTAAAAGGAATCTCACAGTGCAAAATATTTATCCCATTCCTGATGAGCTAATTTATTTATATTTCTGTATATATCACAAAGAAAAACACAGCTTTCAGAAATGCTCATTATACAGTACATTAAATATATGATGGAGAAATCTAAATCATGTGATAATGCCTAAACTAGATGAATTAATAATGTGCAATGATGTAAGCAGAAACGCTAGTGAGCACTGCAAATATTAGCTTGTAGCATCAAAGCTGAAGGACATGATCAGTTAATAAAGCAGACTATTTGTAGACATTAAACTGAATGTAAAGTGTGGATGTGTTGCTTGCTTGTTGACTTGGTGTCACAAAGTGTTTGCTGCTCTTTTGGATTTTGCTGAAATTTTACTCTGTATCATTTGATTTAATTAATATATTAGAAACATTTTTCCCTGCCATTGAAAAAATTGTTATTGTAAAAACCTCACTCTAGCTGTTCCCTACAGTCTCTCACAGATTTATTTTCATTACTTATTATTGATTGTCAATCTGTATTGACACTTTCACGCCTGAAAGACTCCTGGAGTTTGTCAGATTTCTTAAACATTCAATCAAATCAAGGAATCTTAACTTTGGGATCGAGATCAACACATCTGCATGGTTTAGGTTTGCAGCATTAAACCTGTTTCTCCTGCAGTGGCGCAGCGCCTTTTTTATTCATTCGCCCGCTGTTGCAGACTCACTGGGCTTATCCTTCTTCCCTACTGCTTCATATCCACCCTCTCCGCCTGCTGCACCCTCCACCCCTAAAGTGTGGTATACCTGCTCTTTCATTTCGCCTTTCTTCAGTGCTTCGTATCCACCCTCTCCACCTGCTGCTCCTTCTGCCCCTAACGTGTGGTATACCCCCTCTTTCATTTCGCCTTTCTTCAGTGCTTCGTATCCACCCTCTCCACCCGCCGCCCCTTCCGCCCCTAAAGTGTGGTATACCCCCTCTTTCATTTCGCCTTTCTTCAGTGGTTCATATTCGCCACCTTTCGGCTCTCCGCCTGATGCTCCTGCAAGGGTGTCGTACTCTCGCTCCCTCCCAGATGCCTTCTCCAGAGTTTCATACTTGTCATCACCTCGCTCTTTTGATCTCAGCGCCACATCCTCATATATCCGCCCTGAGAAAAGTACGGCATGCAGTGTGGTATGAATATAGTGACTGTTACCATACCTAAAAAACAGTAAACAATCCAAAGAAACAAAAAAATGCTACTCACCTCCGTCACTTCTTCTCCTACGTCGTAAACCTACCACCACTATCACCACCAACATCCCCACCAATACCAACAATATCCCCAACACCATCCCCAACTTCCCCTCCGTCTTAGGTGGTATTGGAAGCTTCCATGGATCTGTGGGAACAGAAAATATATAAATCTAATAGTCATGAGTCTCCTCGTTGTACTCCCATTAACTTCATTTCAATAAAACTGAAGACGTAATGAAAAATATGCTTACCAGAGGTGGTGAGAATTACTTGGTTACTTCTGTGAGTTCGATCCTTATCCGTACACCAGTAAATAGTCTCATCGACATTGAGGTCAGCAGTTTGAAACTCTATACTGTTATTGACGCCCTCCAATTTCAGTGAAACCATTTTTAGACTTTCTCCATCCCTGCACACCCAGCACCTCCACCCTTTCAGACCATCCTTATTTTCAAGCTTCAGGATAACTGCACCTCCCTTCCACATGTTCTGATAGCCTGTCTCAATGATGAGTGAAGCGCTGAGACCAGATTCTGCAGGACAAATAAAGAAAATCATCTCATTATTATGTGTGAATTGTGAATTTACCTTTAGATCTGTGGAAGTTTGAGCTCTAATATGTGTTGATTGTGAATTCACCCATGACATTGACTGAAACAGGGTCACTCTTTGTCCTACTGGTCTCGCACCAATAAGAGCCTCCGTCGTTTGAGTTTTTAATTTTCACTTTCAAAGTGTCTTGTCCGTCGATTGTCTCAGCATTAGGTTTGTGCCATGTCACTGAGCTCGCACTTGGATTGCATTTTAAGTAAACTGTATCCCCAATGAAGGCCATTTTAAATGGAGGTACCATCAAAACTAAAAAACGAGAGAAAAAGAAGAAATGCAATCAAGTATTTGTGTAGCCCTTCTGAGAAAAACTACAAATACACTGTTGCGCATACTGAGCAAATAATAAAGGGCAATAAATGCAGTACAGCATATACAAGTGACATTTTTAGAAGTAAGTGAATATGGATTACCTTGTGGTTTTTGACATCTTACCATGAGTGGCAACACTGTAACAAAAGAGCAAAAAAGTGCTTTTTAATTTGAACAAATTTACCACCAAATGAGATTTTTATCTGTGTGACACTGAGCAGGTACTGGCACTGTTAAAACAAAGGAGAATACAAGAGCATGTTCAGTGGAATTATTTCAACAAATATGAAGTAACTTAGTGGTTCACGGACTATTTTTTAAATAAAAAAAAATACATTTGTGACTCAGAGTAACCTAAAATTACTGCGGTTAGGATTAAGAATTTTTAAAATTAAGTATAAATTAGTATTTGTTCAATTCAGCTGTAATTATGAGACACTGGGTGTTGTAAATATAACATTTTAGTTGATAGACTGGTGACCTGTTTAGTGCCCCCCCCTCCTTTCTCCCATTTGACAGCTGAGTATGCAAAGGCCACTGTAACCCTGAATTGGACAAGTGAATGGATGGAAATAATATTTGTCAAATATCTGCTTAACTGCCTGCATATGTATGAAAGATTAACTTTACATTTATCCAACACGTTAAGAAAAAATAATATTATTCATCATTTTGAGAAAAAGTCGAATCGTGGAGAAATGCCTTGTTTAGATGAGTGAAACAAATTAATGTGAGACAACATCTTTATTGTGTGACGGTGTAACCATCAGTCCTGTTTCCTTGCATCTGTCCATTACCAGTCATTTCATTTTGTACAAATTCACTCTTCTACGTTTGTGTGGTTTTCCGTCTGACCACACGCAGCTTTCTGCACCATGTTTTCGACGTCCTTAAACTGATCACCAGACTGTGTTTATGTGCGCAAAGAGAAATAAAATCTGTTCTTGTTACACATAAAACCCGATTCATTAAGAGGAGCATTCTCCTTGGTAAAGCCGCTGGAATTTCCACAATGCAACTTTTGTCTCAAATTAGATTTTTGACTTTAATCATTTTTTTCTTAATGTGGTCCTAATACTCAGTCGTGGCACTTTGTCTAGAAACAACAACTCTTAACTATACATCTTGTCTTTTTTCTCAAAATGATCAATAATATATCTTTTTTCTTAATGTGGTCCTAATACTCCTTCATAAACATCATACTGCTTCATAAAATCATTTGTCATAACTCACTTTTTTCTTCAAATTAAATAACTCCTGCGAAACTGTCAAATATTTTTTATATAATTCATAATAGATAACTCCTGTTACTTAAATGCTAACTGCAGTACAGTTTTTAATTTTTTTCTCAAGTTTAAGAAATTACAATTGCAAAGTTATAAAAATAATTCCCAGCTATGTTTGTGTCATACAACAAAAACAAAAGTCCTGCATCATGTCTCAGCTGGCTTTCTTACCTGCAATGAGCAGCAAATGCTTTCCACTCGCCATGAGCAAAGGTACTACGGGCAAGAGAAGCTTCACTTTAACTCAGTCACGGAGGAGTGACAAGAGACTAACTGGCTGCTTCCCTTAATGAGTCATGTTGAGGAAGTTGAGGGAGGGCCATGCATAATAGTACTGGAGGAAAACTATTTTTTTTAAAAAACTATCTAATCATCTTAGTATACTTCAGCTTTTGACTTCGATTTTTCCTCAGTTTTCCTCCTCCGCAGTATTTTGTCCTATAATGCTACGGACAGAGAAAAACGGGAATGATTGCGGCAGTTTTCTTCACACAAGTGATAAAACTGTTCCAGTAAGCTAAAAGAGAGGAGCTTGGGAACTTTGAAGGGTGGGAAAGTTTTAGCACTCCGAAAGCTTTCCTGTGATAATGCAGGAGAGGGCTCTGGGGACACTAAAGGTATTGAACATACATGCTTACCTCATATAACGGTGAAGAACACCTGAAGCTAAACCACTCAAGTGCGCCATTTTATTTATTTATTTAGTTGGTTAGTTCTTCTTTTCATAAAGGCCTTTCCATATTTCATATTTTGTTTGTACAGAATTCATTTTTTTTACAGATTTTGTTCACAGAAGAATCACATAAGTAACTGAGCTCACTTTCCTAGATAAGACAATTCTTAAAATGTAGTTTAAATTATAGTACAACACAAAAATAAGTGGGTTTATCACAAAAATTAGTTTTTTTGTCATGTGAAAGGTACAGTGGCACGTTATTGTTCTTTGTAGAAAATATCAAATTTTTAAAAAGTTCCTCCTGTTTTTGTTGCTGTCGTGTTTGTTTTGCAGCAGATGCACCCAAGTGTCAACTAAACATATAGGATGCTGTATTTGTCTAGTAGTTAGTACCGTTAGTGACAAAGTGCAGTATAAAGGGTAAGAGACAAGCTCAAAATACCAAAACCAGATTGAAAAAAAAGTCGATCAAGATTTCAAATCTGTGACTTGAGCGCTGCTATAGAGAAGCTCTTCATTTCATTACGAGTCACAGATAAAGTTATGAAGCAAGGAAAGCTATAATGTCTCAGCAAGAGCCGTCAGGTCTAAATTCTGTGATTAATAATCATAACTGGACTGATGATGCGAGTCATTCTGAGGTAAAGTCCCCATTTGGCAGAGATGAAAACTACTGGCTTCTGTTTGAAATTCCTGGAATAATAGCAAAGATGTGCAGACCGAAGAATAAACCCGAGGCTTTTGCTTTACATTTACAATTTACATCTTACAATTTATGGGGATTTTATTTATTTATTTATTTTGGAGTGAATTTAATTAAATCTACCACATAATGGGATCAGTCTGGTACAAGTCAACTGTATGAGTTGGTGAGCAACACTGAGCTGCAGGATTCTGGACTTCCAAACTAAACACAGGAATTCCTGGGCAGAGTGAGCAACAGACCTAAGAGAATGTGCGGCGCTTTTATTTTTCCACCAGCCGATATGTGAAACAACACAACTCAATCTCATCAACAACTAACAACCTGAGTGAATCTCTGTTTAAATATCATAGTCAGACTCAAAGAGAGTTCTTTGTTTCTTCACAAAAAAAATGGACTTCAAGAAATGAATGCACACTAAGCACTCTGCAGTAGTAGAGACCTTTACAATTCCTTGCTGTTCACATCTTGGCTGACCTCACATGGACCACAGGCATCTCATATTATTTGCACACTCCCCTCCCTCATCACTTACAGCCCATCTTCTATCAGTCCACATCAGAGAGCCTTCTGACCACTGACCGGGTGGCTGTAGCTCAGGAGCTTGGTGATTCAATCTCTGGCTGCTCCAATTTTTCCATGTTAAAATTTGATTTACTGATTGTTGCATAGATATAGAAAAAAAAGTGCTCGTGTGATTGAGGCAAGTTGTATAAAGTGCTTTGAGTCTGGTAGAGTAAAAGAAAAGCGCTATGGTGTGGTTTACCAGTGGCCTGCGTTATATGAGTAGTAGAGTGTGTATCGGTTAACTCTATCCTCCCTCAATTGTATTTAAATTTAGCTATCTTCAAAGGAAAGTCACACACTAAACATGTTACCCTTGTTTCTCTTATTTTTCTTTATTTGCTACCTCATTGTGTTTATCTTGAGCAACCCTTTGGTAGCCTTGTCAGCCTATTAAGATATATGATGCATTCAGTGTATTGCAATTTCTGAAGAGGTTGCCTCATGAAAGTTCTTAGAATAGGAGCTTTTCCTCTTAGTTTTTGTTTTGTTTCTTCCAGCATTGCAGTATAAGTGTTCAGAACTGACCTTCTGCTCAGTATTTGGTCTTCATGAAGCAGTTCTGAGAAATTCAGGGGAAGCTGTTGCAGTTTCTCACCAGTTCAAACTGTTGCAAACCCTTACAAAGACTGAGAACAGAAACACGGTGAGATGAGCTGTACTGCTGTTGCTACCACAACATGATGCAAATCAAAAAGAAATAAAAAGGTCATGGTGACCACACTAAGTTAACGCAAACCTAGAGATCCCCATTTCAGGTTTAAAAACTGCATTGTAGCACTAAAAACTTTAACTGGAAATAATCTTCAGGTCAAATAGTTACATGACAGTTGGTGACTTTATATGCGCAGGTCACATCAGGATACTGTGGGTTTTACGTGTTAGATCACCCATGGCCTAATGTAATAGCTAACTCAGGGCTAGTTTAAAAAAAAACAACCAAAACAACTTCCCCTTATGGAGGCAAAGCTGAAATAAGGAACTAACAAAATAAGAAGTGGATTTGTCTGCCTTAAAAACTGACAATGTGCAGTTTCTCCTCTTCTGTTTTTGTTTCCAAGAATTTAAACACAGGAAATGGTTTTTCTTTTTTTAAAATCTATTTAGAAATAGATTTTAAAAAGCAGAAGAGATAGAAAGCCTAATCCTTTTTTAAAAGACAACTTGTTTCTACTGCTTTCCTTTTCGCCTGTTTCTTTCACATTATTCTGATAACTTAAAGAAATGTATGCAGTATTTCAGTTACTTTAATTGGCCACCAGAGCCCAGCATTACATCAGTTTTCCTTGAGAATAACACATGAATGGGGCCTTAAGCCAGATCTGAGCCTGTTTTTACTGAATGTCTTTATGCTAAGCACTTCTCCAATAAATATATAAAAAACTATTTAATTTTAAGAGTGAATAACTGCATTTAGGGCTGTGAATATGCAAATCAGTCTAAGTTTGTGAGTGCAGAACTCATAAAATGGGATTTTTATTCTTAGGCTAACATGAATGCAGTTGGGTTTGTAGCGTTTCAGTTCATTCACACAGAAACTGTGACTTGAATTTTTATTTTTTTACACCAAACCAGCAATTCAAAGTGCTTCACAGCTTAAGATTCATAGATCAATATTTTGTCTCTCATCCTTCCTCTTTTCTCTTTTTTTGCCTTTTTGATTCCACGTCTACAAAAAAAAGCTGAATTCACTAAAACACACAGGAAAATAAATAAATAAAAATCTACCCGGCATGTTCTTACTACTGTACGCTCCATCTGCCCATGACCCACTTTTCTCTCCTTGCTTGAGAGGGTTAACACAGAAAGCAGGAAGAAAGCTAGTTTCTCATTAAAAAAGACAAAAAAAGGACATTGGGTGGCAAAAGCAGTGTAAGCATCAAGGTAGGATGAAAAGTGTGGTGAATATGCACTATGGAGTGGCGCACCATTAAAGCAGAGCAACGACTAGAGCTCTTATCAGGGGTAACAATGCAGGTGTCATGTTGTCCTTAAGAGGCTGGATATGGCAGGATTCATCTCCATCTCCTCTTAGCAGAGGGTACTGTTGTGCACATTAATGTATTTCAGCCGAGCTTTGCTTCCTCCATCCGTCTCTTTGATGGGCTCTAAAAGCTGCCATAAAGCAAGCCTCAGGACAGTCTTTTCACTCAAACACTCCAAAAGCATAAACGCTATTCACTGAAAGATACTTGTTATATAAAGTTACTTATCTGACATTAGAGCATGGAATATATCATTTCCTAATTTATCTTTTTTTTATTACCTCATGAAGACAGCAGTCTTGCAACTTTTGGTGTTTAGTGAGTGAAGAGTTCATGTCGTCTTTTGCTTCAGTGGGTAGGTCATGGACAGGAAATGTGGGTGCAGGCTGGCTGTGGGTTAATGTCAGAAGCAACTGGAAGCCGCTGCTGCTCTGCTTCTGAGTGTTTACCTTTCCTCTGCTGGCAGCCTGCCCTTGCAGCAGGTGACATGTAGCTGTCATGGGAGATGCTGTGCCATGTAAGGATACTGACTCGATTCCCAGTGGGACGCAGAGTGACGCAATCACACCTTGAGCGTGTCACAAACAAGCAGACGTCACCAGAAACTAGTGGCCTGGTGGGGTCTTTGGAAATTTACACGCAATGTCACCATCAACAGAACTGGGAGACTTTTAATTATCATCTCTGGAAAATTAGATTTCGTTTCAGTTTGTGAGCTTTTCCAAAAATGTCTGAAAAACCTACCCCGACAACCTTTTATGACGTCAGAAAAGGGAGGAATTCAACATTTCTGTAACTAATAAGCCAGGCCACACCTGACCTAACCTGCCTTAGCGCTGGGTGATTAATGTTAGTTATGACGATTATAAAACAATTATCAAAATTCTTTCTTTTACAGCAGTCCCTCCCTAAAAGCCCAGTGTCACCGCCGATGAGACTGCGGCATGTTTAGTTCACTTCAAAGAAACTTTGATCACTGACAGACTTATAGATAATTAATGATCATTAACGGTTTCCTTTGTGTACCCACAGACCTCGGCTTGGACTGGCAGGCAGGGTCTCTCTCCTGACTGCAACATCCTTTTTTTATATATATATTCAAGGAAATTTTAAATACTAACAAAGGTAAATAAATGCATGATGTTTTCAAAATTCAAATACTATATCCATAATACAGACACTCATGTTTTCCCCTTTATTTAAAGGGTTTAAAAGACAGTATGTGTCAGTAAACTCAGATTTTATTTGCCGACTTGTTTAAGAATTTGCCCATTTTTTGCAAATAAAGGTTTTAAGAGCGGGAGACACATTCATCAGGGCTGATTGCCATAATTCTTCCCAGACTTCT